CTTTGAAGCTGAATATTCATCTTCAGCTCGTTGATAGCCCACTGTTTTCCTATCATGTGCAAATGTTTTATCTCATTGTGCTGTTATCACTATAAAATCAGTGCACACTGGCTGGGATTTATCTTCCAGTTGTACTTCAGAGCAACTTCGCCCTGGAATGTCAAGGGGTGAGGAGGAGGGTAGGAGAAGCTCACACCAGAGCCATGGGCAGAATACAGGCTGGGCAGGCAAAATGAAAGAGCTCATAATGACGCGAGGAGTAAAGTCTCACAACTGCAGGAGAGTAAATGCTTAACGAAGAGCACCACAGCAGCGTCTTGCTCAGTTTTAAAGTTGTAAACCTGCCGAGTCAGTCTCAGTTGCTTTCCTTTAAGAATTCTGAACGAAGCTGTAAAACACCGCAGGATCTGCAGCTGAAGCTCGGAGCCCAACAGGGAGAAAGCACTCTCTTCCAATGTGTACCTGTGTGTCCTTGGGGACCTGGTGGAGGACTGACAGAATACGAGCACAAGCTTTCTTTCAAGCACTGTCCTGAAGAACCGCATGTGAATCCTGAGTGTCTCCCGTGATTAAGAGACTAATCATGGGCGGAGCGGTGGCTCTGAGGCTCAGGGTCTGTGCCTGTAGCTGGAAGGTTGCCGGTTCAAATCGCACAGCCGGCAGAGGAATCCTACTCCGTTGGGCCCCTGAGCAAGGCCCTTATCCCCAACTGCTCTGACCCCAGGCTCTCTCCGAGTCTGTGTGTCTCATGGAGAGCAAGCTGGGGTCTGCGAAAAGACAAATTCCTAATGCAAGAAATTCTATAGGGTTAATCAAGTGATGTTATAGATAAGAGATAAGAAGTATTCTGACTCATACAGCGTATATATTTCCCCCACCCCTGCCTTATTCGTTGCTGGAAAGTGAAAAAACATAGGTCTTGGAAATATGATCTTCCTGACTCGGGCAAACAGATACCTCTTTACTCAGAGAGTTGTGGGAATCTGGGGAGATAGCACGGCTCTGGGATTCCCTAATCATGTCTGAATGAGATCCTCAGAGAAAACAGCGACTTGGACTTGAAAGAGGACTTCACAGACGCCTTCCATTTATGTTCATCTGTTTATATTCTAGACTACATCTTCATCAGCGCAGAAGCTGTTTGAAGCTGCCATGAACTCTGTAAACATCTTGATCATGACAGTTAAGAAATTCGGATTTTCAAGCAGATAAAGGAAATGCAGTTGTACTTCCTGCTGTACAAATGTAACTGACCAGCTGTCCAATACTTGAGCTTAATCTAACCTTAGCAGCCTTAGCAGCTGACTGTCTTTGTAAAAATAGCTTTACCAAAGGGGTAAGGAAGGAAATAAAAGGTCAACGCTATTTATTCAATTCACATCACATTTCACCTCGGCCTTTTTCCTTTGACTATCATGTTTTTGAAAATATGGTATAGTGATAAAATTTTCAAAACTCAGGTTCTTTATACTACAGTTGGCAATATTTGCATGTCCATGGCTGTGCTGATTCCCACTCCAGTTGTGTGTCTGGTAACTGAGTCAGAGACTGGCCTCCCCTCCATATGATCAGGTTTATGGAGCAGTAAAGCCCAGGTGTGACCTCTGACCCCTTCGTTACCATCAGAGACGTGGCAGAGCTCTGCAAAGTCTATAGCTAGATCAAGCTCTGCCTGAAACAAACAGCTGTCAGGAGACCAATGGTTTTGGCAGATCGGTCCTTTCATTTTTTTAAAGGGCTGATTAAACAGCATATACATGTCTGATGCTACCTTGGACAACTGTTTTTTAACTTTATTAAAAATCCTCTTCTTTAACTCTCAATAAAGAACAAATGCAGTGATTCCACAGAAAAGGAAAACATATAGTTTGTCATTATAAAATGCTCTCCTTGAGGGCTAAAGCTGTTTTATTATTATTTTATTGTTTACACTGCATGTCAGGCATCACAGTAGCATTACAGGTAGCACTGCTCCTGGATCCTTGTGTGTGGAGTTTGCATGATCACTTCTCGGTCACACAGTTTTCTCTGTGCCCTGAATTCCACATGTGTGAGCTGCCATGGACAGATCTTCCCTTGTGGGGTTACACTCTGGACTCACCACAGACTTGAACTGGGCTAAGCAGTTACTTAAATCTATCCATCCATTTTCTAACCACTTCTTCCAATTCATGGTTACAGGAGAGTCAGAGCTTATCCAGCAAGCAATAGGCACAAGGCAAGATACACCCTGGATGGGATGCCAGTGCATCACAGGACACACAAACAAACACACTCACACCAGGGCTGATCTTCCCAATTAACCAGTATGGTTTTAGACTGTGGAAGGAAACCAGATCACAGACAAAACTCATGCAGACACAGGAGGAACATGCAAACTCCACACAGACAGCACCCCAGGTCTGGAACTGAACCCAGGGTCTCAGCACTTTGAGGCAGCAATGCTCACCACTGCACCATTCCTAAAAGAAAATACTAGTTCTCATTCTAATCACTAAAGCAGAAAAAATAAACAACAAAAAACAAAATTAAGATGGAGATTTCCCTCATCAATCCTGTTTCTGCTTGAAGTCCTTATACACTCTGCACACAGGAATGAGAAATGTCTGAGGAGTTTGGGCAGAGATCCAGGCTATAGAGGAACCTATGATTCTCCATTTACATGATGTGTATCAAATGTGTATCATGTCAAGCCTTCTTACTCTGCCAAGTCAAAGCACATGGAGTTCTGTAATTCAGTCAGAAACACGAATGAGGCCCAGATACATTCCTCTTCTGCATCCCTTCACCCATTGATGTGATTCCTGCCGCAAGTTGTCTCAGACTGGCCAGATCAAGCTACCTGTCTCCTGTGGAAGGCTACAGACAGAAAGGGCATAACAGTGCTTCACACGATGGCTGCCAGCCATGGAGGCACTGACTGCATTTTAATTTATGGTTCAAAGGAGCACTAAAGAAAATCATTCTCCCCAGCAGAGGCTGCACACACAAGCCCACTAAAACAGCCCTGACTCCAGCTCTATCAACAGCAAATTGCAGCAATCACATTAGCCAAGAGTTATTGATCTTCAGTCAGTAAGAATCTGCCACGGAGGTCTGTGGTTGCTCACTACAGAGACAAACCAAAGTCTCCCCTTAAGTAACACTGGATTAGGTCAAAACACAAACACTGACAAAACTAAAGGTGTTTCGGTTCTGTTTTATACTGTCAGAAAAACATTGGTGACCACAAATAAGCACTTGTTAAACCCTGATTTTGTGCAGAGTGCTATGACACAGAACTGAGAAGACAGCAACAGTGGTTTCAGTGGAACAGAACCCCCATAACCCCCAGGCTGCGTTTACTCTGAGCCTCACTCACTTCAGGAGCACATGCCTGCCTGCAATGTAACAGGACTCCTCAGATAGATGGGAAGCAGAAATAGGAGCCTGGCTGTTCCAATAATAGCTCCAGCCACAGCGGAGAGAGGGACAGAGGAACGGGCGAAAGTGTCTGCCTCTGTGTTCAGCCTCCTACCTTGGAAAGTGACGCAGCAGTAGGCATCGCTGATGTCCGTGTCAGGCGTCAGCACATTCCCGGCGCGGAGCACAAACACGCGCAGCATGGGGAGGCAGGCGGGACGCAGCCGGAGAGGTAGAGCGGAGACGGTCCTCTGACCACAGCACTGGCGTTTCCCACTGTCCCAGGCTGGCGCACTGCTGCTGCTGCTCCTCCGGCTATGAAGAGAGTCTGATCACTTGCTCACACTCAGGCGCACACACACACACACACACGAGCGCTGACACCAGCTGCTTAAAGGGCAAGGGGCCCATTGTCTGTGCTCTCAGCTCACACTCAGACCACAGGCCAGCCTTCTACACACAGCAGCAAAGAACTATCTTCTGCTGCCCAGGGGTGCTGCCTGCATCTTGGTTCCCTTTTGTGTTCTCTGGGTGACCTCTTGCTAAGGGGTTATTAACATCTCAGTTATTGAACAAACAAGGGATATGATGAGAGGTGGCTAGAGCCCTTGTGTTTGTAGTAGTTGATTGATCCAGGGTTCTCATCCTGTGACCTAATTCGAAGGAACTCTGTTTCGTGAAAGAAGATCGGCTTCAACAAAATAGTTAGTTTCTTGTCCCAGATCACAACAACACTTTGTGTAAAGAAGGGCAAAGTGCGAAGTCCACTGGGCTGAATTGAACAGAAATTTGGAATTTCCTTGTCAAAACTAAAAAAGTTCAGTTCCTTCAGCCTGGGTAGTGATTGTGGGATGCATCATGGGTGGGCAGGAGGAAGAGTACAGAGGACTGGTCAGCAGCTTCGTGGAGTGGTGTGAGAAGAACCACCTGCAAATTAATGTGGCAAAGACGAAGGAGTTGGTGATAGGTTTCAAGAAAAAGAGGGTCCAACCTGTCTGCATCCATGGGAGTGGCATGGAGATAGTGGACTCATACAAGTACCTGGGAGTGCACATCGACAATAGACTGGAATGGTCCAAGAACACCGAGGCCATCTACATGAAGGACCAGAGCTGACTCTACTTCTTGAGAAGGCTCAGGTCCGGTCCTTCAATGTGTGTAGTAAGATGCTACATATGTTCTATCGGTTGGTGGTGGTGAGCGCCATTTTCTACACGGTGGTGTGCTGGGGCTCTGGGATTAGAGCAGGGGATTCTAACAGGCTGAACAAGCACATCAGAAGAGCAAGCTCTGTCATTGGGCCTGGCCTGGACCCCCTGGAGGTAGTGGTAGAGGAGAATGGTGTCCAAACTAGAGGCCATCGTGGACAATGTCTCCCATCCCCTCTATGACATGCTTGTGGAAATGAAGAGCATGTGTCCACATGGTTATATAACTTAAGACAAATGAATTTTTATTTTACAAAATGACAGCTAAGAGTTTCATCAGACTCTGTCAGTCCCACATACTCTGACCCTTTCTTCACACCTTCAGTGCTTAATGGGAACTCACTGAGGTCGCACAGAACAACAGCATTCTTTGGTTCTCTTCCTCTGTCAGGCAGGTGTAGGCAGTTCTGGTGCTGGGGGACTGTGTGTCTGCAGGTCTTCTGGGTCTCCTTAAAGCTGCAGCACCTGAAGAGCTGGGAGAAGCTGATCAATTGGTCCCAATAAGCCAACAATGAGCTGATCTACAGTAGATTGTTAGCAGCCGGGTTGGAGTGAAGCCCAGCAGACACACCACCCCCCCAGGTCCTGCATTGCCCACCTGTCTTATGAATCCCAGTTGTCTGGATTATGCTCACTTCTCAGATTCCCAGATGAGGTGCGAGATCCGGATGAAACCTGCTGCTCCCTCACAATGGCTTGTGTCTGGTCTGTGAGAGCAGACTGTGCTGGGGTATGCTCTTCTTGCCTTGTTCTGTGAGAACATACACAAGAGTGTTTCACTGCTTATTAATCATTGCCATTCCCTGCCTACAGTGATGCTCCTTTTCTGAAGGCATGCAGAAATCCAAATCACCCCCACTGATGCACAGATACTGTAGCTGTTATGGGCCACAGGCAAGGTGTCCTCTTTCTTGTGATATCAGATATCAGCCAAGGGGTTTAAACACAGCTGTTTGCGAGAGGAATGAAGCAGACAGTGTTGAAAGGGCTCGTACAGTGAGGTAGGAGTGTTGTGCTAACTGAGCACATGTCTTACAATGGGTTTGTCTTTTGCCTGCAGCACATTATAGCAGAAGTCCAACAATTCTGTTTATAGAAACAGATGGGAAACTTCACTCCCATGACCGCTAAGAATATTGCAAAGAATCCAAAAATGCATAAATTGCCTGCAATGGATTTAACATCTGAATTACTCAAATTATATTCATAATAAGACCAATATTGTAAAAATATCTTACTTTCACAATAGACTACTGCTTTTATTACAATACTGTGTATTTTAGCAACAGATCATTGTTTTCCTAGAAAGAAAAAGTGAATTTGGAATTAATTAGTACAGCAAAGCAGATGATTGTCATAATCCAGCTTCATAAAAGATTAAAGTATATTTCATGAAAAATAAAAAATTAATCCCAGTGTTTGGGAATTACTTTGGTAATATTATAATTTGAAATAGAATAATTAGGCCCACATACTGTATCAATAAAAACAGAATTGGATTTTGTTCTTTACCTTCCACCTGGATCTGTCCTAATTTTGTGGAGACTCCTGCGATGACAGAACTGTCAGTGTCTGGTCTAAATGTATTAGAGCTCAGAAAGCTGGACCTGCTCAGGACTGGGAGGGAGATCCTAGTGTTGGTGGAGCTAATCATCTGTGGGCAAGTTTCTCAAACATTAAAACTGGGGCCCAAACTCCTTGAGAATTAAACGTTCTATTACCTATAATAATACTGTTACAGTGGATATAAAAAGTCTACACACCCTTATTGAAATTGCAGGTTTTTGTGATGTAAAGCCAGAAATCAAGATAAATCGTGTCAGATATTTTTCTATATTTAATGTTACCTTGCAACCAACAAAATTCAGGAGAAAAACAAATAGATAATAAGGAAAAATAACAAATAAAAAAACCTGCATCAATCCTGGTTGTGCAAGTGTGCACCCCCTCTCTCCAACTGATACTTTGTGGAAGCACAGCACCTTTTGCATTTATTTATTAAGAAGTCTTTGTGAATTAGTCTCTATCAACTTTACATTTTTATCCCACATTTCCTTGCAAAAAAAAAGTTCAAGCTCCTTCAAATTGCCAGGGGATCTCCTGTGCACAGCCCTCTTTAGGTCATTCCACAGGTTTTCTATGGGATTGAGGGCTGGGCTCTGACTGGAGCATTCCAAGACTTTGATCTTCCTTTTCCGAAGCCATTCCTTGGTTGACTTGTATGTGTGCTTTGGGTCGTTATGTTGGAAGGTGAAATTCCTCTTCATCTTCAGCTTCAGCTTTCTGACGGAGGCCAGCAGGTTGTGCCAAAATATCTTGATATTTGGAGTAAGTCATTATCCCATCTATCTTGACTAGAGCCCCTGTCACAGCCCCAAAACATGATGCTGCCACCACCACGGTTCACAGTAGGTATGGTGTTCTTTGGATGATGAGCTGCATTGTCTTTGCACCAAACATATCTTTTAAAATCAAGGCCAAAAAGTTCACCCTTTGTCTCATCTGGCCATAAGACATTTTCCCACATGGTTTGGGGTGATTGAATGTATTTTTTTGCTAAATTAATATGGGTTTGGATGTTCTTTTTTGTGAGAAACGGCTTCCGTTTTGCCACCCTACCCCACAGGCCAGACGTGCAGAATACGGGAGACTGTTGTCACATGCAAGGAGTGACCAATACTTGCCAGAAATTCCCGCAGCTCCTTTAATGTTGCTGTAGGCCTCTTGGTAGCCTCCCTGATAAGATTTCTCCTTGTCATCATCACCTTTAGAGGGTTGTCCTGATCTTGTCAATGTCCCTGTAGTTCCAACATTTTCTCCACTTATTGATGATAGTCTTCACAGTGCTCCTTGGTACATCCAATGCCTTTGATATTCTTTTATACCCTCTCCTGATCGGTACCTTTCAACAATAAGATCCCGTAGGTGTTTTGTCAGCTCCTTGCAGACTATGGCAATCCCAGTAGGATGCAACCATGAAAGTTTCAAGAAAATCCTACACGAACAGCTGATTTTTATCTGGGGTTAATCAGAATCACTTTCATTGATGGCAGGTGTATGCTACTTACCTTTGGGAATAATTTTGAATGTGATCGGTTAACTTGGAGCACAGCTACAGCCCCCATTATAAAAGGGTGTGCACACTTATGCAACCAGGGTGTTGCAGGTTCTATTATTTCAATTATTTTTCCTAGTAATGATCTATTTGCTTTCTCTTGAATTTTGTTGGTTGCAAGGTCACATTAAATATAGAAAAATGTCTGACATGATTTATCTTGATTTCTGGCTTTACATCACAAAAACCTGCAATTTCAATAAGGGTGTGTAGACTTTTTTAATAAACTGTAGATAAAAAGAGATCTATAATATATTATATATCTATAATAATGGCACTACTTGCGTGAGTAAGGATGACTCGTCACCACCACCAATGTGCAGCCCCACCTGGATGATGCGACAGCTGCCTTAGTGCACCAGTACACTCCCCACACACCAACTCTCAGCAGGAAGGAGGACAGAGTGATGAAGCCAACTCATAGATGGGGATTATTAGGAGGCCATGATTGGTAAGGGCCAATGGGAAATTTGTCCAGGACACCAGGATAACACCCCTACTCATTTCGAGAAATGCCCCAGGATTTTTAATGACCACAGAGAGTCATGACCTCTGTTTTACATCTCATTTGAAGGACGACACATTTTATGTCCCCGTCGCTAGATTGGGGCATTAGGACCCACACAGGCCGCAGGGTAAGCGCCTCCTGCTGGCCACACTAACACCTCTTCCAGCAGCAACCTTAGTTTTTCCCAGGAGGTCTCCCATCCAGGTACAGGCCACGCTCATATCTCCTGAGTTTCAGTTGGTTGCCAGTTGTGAGTTGCAGTTTTGACAAGTAAATTTCACATCTCTATTCAATTCAGCCCAGTGGACTTCGCACTTTGCCCTTCTTTACACAAAGTGTTGTTGAGGGCGGGGCAGGGCAGGGCAGGGCGGTCCCACTACGGCTGAGGATCTTTAACCTCAACTGCTCCAGGGGCGCTGTTTAAATGGCTGACCCTGCGCTCTGATCCCCAGCTTCTCTCCCTGTCTGTATGTCTCATGGAGACCAAGTTGAGGTATGTGAAAAAGACAAACTCCTAATGCAACAAATTGTATATGGCCAATAAAGTGACCTCTCTTGTGATCTGAGACAAGAAAACCAACTGTTTAGTTGAAGCTGATAACATCTTCTTTCACAAAACAGAAATCCTCAGAATTAGGTCACAGGATGAGATCCCTGGATCAATAAACTACTACAAACACAAGGGCTCCAGCCTCCTCTCATCATATCCCTTGTTTGTTCAATAACTGAGATGTTAATAACACCTTAGCAAGAGGTCACCCAGAGAACACAAAAGGGAACCAACATGCAGGCAGCACCCCTGCGCAGCAGAAGAGAGCCCTTCTCTGATGTTGTGTGTCTTATGGCAGTGGTGGAAGAAGTGGGTCCCCTCCTATATGTATAAAGTGCTGTGGGATCCTTTGGGATGAAAAGTACTATATATATGTGATTATGTATTACATTTAACTCCTTGAATGATCCCTCTCAACTTTCACACAGCTGAGATGTTGCTCTTGCTGCTGAGTTATTCATGATAAAAACTCCCAACAGTGATCCTTTAGGGAGAAACTGGATGGTACCCAACCTTTATGAATCCAAACTGACGTGAAATCCCACCTCCTGTATTTACCAGCTCCTGAGGGTAAACAGGTGGCTATGAGCTCAGCTGCCCTGAGAGCAGGAAACGCTGTGGTCATCGTGAAGCAGAGCCAATGACCCCTAGGATACATGATCTTTCCCACTCTCCAGTTTCCACTCCGAGAGTCTTAATTACATCTATGAACATTCATTCGTTGGATACTTATCCAAAGCAACTTGTGAACTCCCTTCATAATTGAGGAAATTACAATGGAAACGGATGTAAGAGATGACATATACAGAGAATGTCTTGTGTAGCGTGCCTGACAGGAGGTACCTGGCAGCCCAAACCCCCCTCAGATTGCAAGGGATGAGCCAGGGAGCTACTGTGGGGGTGTGGATGGGGAAGCAGTGGGAATGTGACAGAGATACATGAAAGGAATTTCCAGGTGTGAGACTTAAATACACAGGTGAGCAGAAATGTGCAAGATTACGATCAAACCATCTTCCCGAATAGCTATTGTAACTTCATATCATTCCATTTTAGTACTTTTGTTAGGTCCTAATAAATGCAAGAGAGAGGCGACATAAGCAGATTACATTTGATGTAGCTCGCCTGGCTGAGGGAATTTGGCCCAGAATCCCCTAAAACATGATCAGAGTTGAAAACACTAAGATAAGAGCAAGTCTGTTCGGGCTACGGTTTCGCTGGAACCGAGCAGATTAACACGCAACAAAGTAGAGATGGAACAGGATCCACTTGCTGATGTACGCCGGTGAGCAGAATATTATTTCCTTAGTTTTCCAGTTTGTATAAGCAAGTTACGACAATGTCATCACTGCGTTTATGTCTGTTGCTCTGCCGACACGGAGCTACTGTACCTGAGGAAGAGGAAGTGGTAAGCAGCAGAAGGCTCTGGAGAACCTGAAGAGAAGCTTGATGGCAGGTAGGAGGAAGGCTACCGGTAAGCCAGAACACTGGGCTGTGGAACCTGCTGTCAGCTGGAAAAGCTGCTGCAGATTAGACTGATGCAGAACGTGGAAAAGAGCTGCTGCTTTCAGAATTCAACTTCATAGGAGTGAATTTCGAGTTGAACCCCCAAAATGGGAAGTAGTAATAGTAACATGTGGCTGAAGGCATGGGACGGGGGAGAGATGAAGGCTGGTACCAACCCGCTGGACGCCGAAGAAGGAATGGGCGAATGGTGGAGAGAACCCATCGCTGTAGCTGCCTAGGCCTGAGTGCTAGGGACAGCACGGGGATGAACGAGGAATCCCGGGACCAGAGCAAACCCCCTCAGGGTGCTCACACCTGCGGGGCCTAGTGGGAGCCAGGGACCAGGGGCTTCTGCACTGGACAGGGAAAAGAAGCATGGGGGTGAGGGGGAGACCAAGCAACACAGGCTGGGGCTGTAGGTGTGGCAGGTTGACCGCTTGACCAGAAACGGAGAAGAGGCAGGGGAGGAGAATGGAGTGGGAGAGAGCAGAGAGTAGAGAGGGAGTCATTGCAGGGAGATTCTGGAGGCTAGTTGACATCAGTAGGCCTGAAAGAATAATGCAGACAGTACGAAGGTGCAGAGCTGCAGTCCTTTCAATAGAAACATCAAGACTTAAGAGGCAAGAAGGACCCTGCCTCAGGCTGAACTCGATGAAAGTAAAGTCCTGGGAATGCTAAATGCGACATCTGTAAATGGAATGGAGTGGTCGTCGGAATTGGTGTCCGAGTATAAACCTTCACAATGGTCTGAGGGTGAGACCTGGAAGTGTTCACACTCTGTGATCATCAAAATGCTCTTGTGTTTTTTTGGATCCTTTATCACTTTTAATTTTTATTTAAGTAACTGTCTTTGGTGAACCTTATTTTTTAACTCTTTGTTAACCATATGAAATTTCACTGCAACACTTGTCAAATGGCAAAAACGAAAGCAGCTGTTCCACTGGAAAATAAATTGGTTAATTAGGTAGAGGTGGCTTCTCTCTTCCTTGTGATACCACTGGCATCTCATTAGATTTCTGATGTAATCCTTTTGAGTACAGTTGTTGTGAAGGGCTGAATTGTTGCTGCCCGAGTTGCAGAGGAGGAATAACCATATGGTCCTACACACATTTGAAAATAACACAAAGAACCATGTGATGCTGAGAGTGCACACAAAGGGCAAATGGGCGAAATTACAGCAGTGACAAAAGCAGCAAGATACTGGATTCTAAAAAATGTTAAAACTTTGCCACCATTGGTAAATTTAATGTGCTTAAATACATATTTTGCAGTCAAAGGCAGGCATAAAAATGAACACAGGACCGCAATGATCCCCAAGTCGAACACTGCTGGAATAATGAAGCCGGTATCAATAGGAATAGAATTCAATTTTACAACAGCAGAACTATCATGTAGAGAAACTAAGGAAAAATACGTAAGACTGAAAACAACAGTTCCTTCACAGAAAAAACAGTTTACAGTTATATGTCTAAAGCTGTAACCAATTTGGTTAACAGCAAATGGACATTCTTGCACCTTTCTTTCCCCCCATAAAAGAAAGTGTATTAATTTATGCAGATTTTCAGAAGAATGTGAGAACAAAGATAGCAGTCTGGTGGCCTGGTAATTTCATGGATGTTTTGGACTAAAGTTAAATAAGATTGTGAAAAAGAGCTCATATCTGGACCAAGATTCATGAAAAGCATCAAAGGGATCTGACAGTAAAACAGTTTTGTTTTATTATTGTACACAGTTCTGCATTTCTCATTTTTCATAAAATCGTGAATTCTAAAATGAAAACAAAAGAAGAATGTACAGCGGTGAAGTGGACCCATGAACCAAGATCAGACAAGACAGGGAGAGTCAGCTGGATGCTGCTATGACTCTTGATCCTTATGTCGTGTCATCAGCTTGCTGTGCTCTCAGCTTAGAAAGGAATTTCTGCAGACAAAACAAGAGAGAGCGTCATTCTTTCTGGAAATTCCCAAAGTTATTTTCTGGTAAAACACGGATCCAGTTTCTTGATGGACTAGCTGATATATGAGGTAGTTCAGGTGGGTAGCTAGCTGCTTCAGCATCTGTAGACTGCAAAGGAACAAGTATTAGGTCTAATCCATGCTGAAAAGAGAATAAAGAAAAGCCAAAATGTGTTTTCTTCTCCTTTCAGCATGGAATAAACCTACTACTTGATCCCTAGCAGATGTATGGACAGATGGACTGGACTATTTTTTATATAGATCATGGGGACTTAATTACATTATTTTAAAATAGCTGTCATACTTAATAGGGAAATTGGACTGAGCCCCAGTATTTTAGGTTTCTGGGCTAGTGAGGCAGCCCACTCTCATACCTCCATGTTCTGGTAGTGTTTCAGGCTGCTGCAGTGCATCTTCTTGGCTGCCTCCTCACTACCATAGAACAAGGAGCACAGCTTGCAAAAGAAACCCGTCTTTGGAACCACGAATTCCAATCCTGCAAGCACAGCAGCGGAGAGAACCCAAGTCAGAAAGTCAGCATCATCTAAGTTTCTCCTGCATTAACAGAAGTGCTGTGCAGGAGCACACACACACTCACATAGCAAGAATGCATGTTTCAATGGAGACACCTTCACTTTCAAGTGATGCATTTCATCCCACAAGACCTGAAAAAAACTACTACCAACTTAACATATATACTACAAAAATCTCAATGAATGCCAGTGAGTTAAACCAGAATTGAGTGACCTACGAATCAAAAGCTGAAGCTACAGAGCCTCAAAACCAAAAGAAAATTGTATCTTGCATGAACCTTGAAAGAATCCCTGAGTATGAACAGATTAATTTAAAACATTTGTCTATCGTCAGAGAAAAGCAAAATCCCATTCCATCCTTGTAGTTCAGAGTGTGCTATCTGTCTTCGGCTTTATGTGGAGTGACTGGTATTGCCAGCATCATGGAGTGATGTAGAATGTCAACCTTGAAAACAATCTCTGTGTCAGGATAGATCCAGAACAATTGGGGGCGGAGGCTGGCACTGTGGCTCAGGATCTGAACCTGTGGCTGGAAGGTTGCTAGTTCAAATCCTGCAGCCGGCAGAGGAATCCTACTCTGTTGGGCTCCTGAGCAAGGCCCTTAATCCCAGCTGCTCCAGGGGTGCTGTACAATGGCTGACCCTGCACTCTGACCCCAAGCATCTCTCCCTGTCTGTGTGCCTCATGGAGAGCAAGCTGGGGTATACGAAAAGACTAATTCCTAATGCAAGAATTGTATATGGCTAATAAAGTGATCTTGTGTCATCTTATTATTCAAAAGCAAAACACAGGAACTACGTCACGGATAACTCTCTGAATTCCTATATGATTCAGTTTACAGAGCAGTTTACAAAAAATTCACTTTGCAAACTATTTCTTGTTTTTCCCTTTTGGTAAACAGTAACCTGCGTGTCATCTGAAATAAGGGAATTGGGTGTCATCTTTCCAGCTACCGTCTCCAACAGAAAGAATCATGTCAATACAGTGCCGCTCATATTGATACTTGCCAATAGGGCTCTGGGGGTTGAAGGGAGGCATCTTGAAGTTGCTGGATAAGGGAAAGGCAGATCGCGGTTTCTTCAGCTGGGGCTCCTCCAGTTCAACCGTGTCCTGTCGCAGTTTGGACTCTTCTAAAGCCAACAAAGAAATCATTAGCACTTTCTCTCTGGAATATGAGGGGGCATTTGCCATCCAGAAACAGCAGCCTCATGTGCCGTAGTTCACAAAGTGCACCGTTAACAACTGTGACCCAAATTGTAAAAAAGAGTCAACTTATAAACGCGGTTTGTGCTGGTTATGTGAACTTCCCATCCATATGGGTGCCCAGATTCTGGTGAAAGGGAAAATTATCGCACTACTCAACATAAAAAACAACTTAAGACTACAAGACAAAAACAATGGTCATTCAGAGGACATTATAGAACCTTATAGACAAGGAAATTTCAGCAAGATTTACAGTGAAAGCTTCCCAGTTCTGTCTCTCGTACCTTTGACTCTGGTGTCTGGGCGCTCTTGGTTCACCACAAGACTCCTGTCTGCTTTGCTGTCCACTAGGTAAGTGGGGTCAAAGGGCTCCAGCTTGACCTTGGAGAGCTCCGCTGATGCAGGGAGTTCACTAGGACCAGTCCTCAGCTGAGGAGTCCTTGAGGGCACATGTTCAGTTTCTCTACTAGGTTCAGGTTCCTGTTTCACTGCTCCTGGACTGGGCTCCTGCAGAGTGTCTCTGAGTGACAGGGATCCTGTAGCATCAAAGGCTGGGTCCTGTGGCACAGAAGGACGGGGAGCTGCATCCACAGGGTTAAAATCCGCTTCTGCCTGGGTTTCGGGCTCCTCCTCCTTCACTTCAGCCGCTGTCCAGCTGACTTGCTGTCGCCCTCGCCCAGGCTTCCTCACCAGAGTGGCTGCGGAGACAGAGCAGTCATTCTTCACACAGGGGTTTCCAGTGGAGCATCGAATCACACAGTCAAGGAAGGGACGATCCCCTCCAATCGCAAACAATTCCTCAAATTTATTCAGTCACAACAAATTACAGCCGTTCTGTCTGTCAGGTCAGCCAGGGGGAAAAATAAATGATCAGAAGGTAAGGAGCAACAAGACCTGGACTTTTAATGTGTGTTTTAGTTACATTCATAAACATTTAGAACACTGCAGCTGCTGAACTAACTTACACTTGCTGAAAAGAAATTGAAATTAACTACTACTTGGGATTAACCTGAAGAAGGAAAAAAAATATTGTACTAACAGTACTGAGTCCGTGCAGAGAGCCGAGTATCCGAGTACCCGAACCTTGCTAGAGAGAACTTGCTAATCTGCGTTTTTAGGGAACTTGGGTTTCTTGGGTAAAAGATACTTCAGTTAGGGACGTCCTTCCTGCTTGTGGGTGCACTTTTAGAACAGGGAGGTAGGCTCCCATTTATTTTGTGGCATCCAGGGGGCACAGAGAGAGATCTAAGTGCAGGATGTATTCCATTTATTACAAAAGGCAGCTTATCTCTTATTGTGGCCACTGTGGGCATCATTTAAGAGTTCAATACCTAGTAGCAGTCTGATGTTTTCTGGTTGATTAGAAAGTTAGGCCTCTGAAACACCTTGTTTGTACATACAGTAAATGTAGTAACTTGTGTGTTGTACATTTTGTTGTGTGAAAAGTAGTGGAATGTAGTGTTTGTATTTTCAATTCCTGAAATTCACCATTTTCGTAACATATCAATATACAATATCCCCCTCTCGCTATGTAATTTACCTGAAATTGTAATTCATTATATTACATTTGTTTCACAATATCCTATTATTTTCTAATGATACAAAAATACTTTCTCTTATTTATTAAACTGTTGGGATCACTACTTTCTGGTCTCTGATTTACTTTAAAGACAAATTTTTCCTACAGCTCATATCCACGGTGCCAAGATACAGACAATTAGACCACAGGAGTCAGCAATTGTCTTAGTTAAATGGGAGCTGCAAGGCCATCTTTATATTTCGGGGTTAGAAAGAATCAGCATTGATGAGTGCATTTTAAGCCACAATGAAAGCAATATGTACACACTAACGTGTAAAGCCTCCAATTTACACCACAAAATAGACTAAATTTCCAGGCATGCGGAATGCCATATTATCATCACCGTCAGTTATTCACAACGAGACAACTAAACTTCTGCTGAGGTGAAGCAAACCTTTTACACTGGAAACAAGCAGGCTTGTAAATACATCTCTTTTAATCCAGTAGAAATACTGCACTCAACTTTGAGACAGTTTAAGCAACAAACACAACGTACTTGATAACTCTGCAGATCACGATGGAACATTTCTGTGGTGAAATGTCTGCTGTACAACCTGTACTTATTCGCTCGTACATCACATTACATGAATCCTTACAGTGAGCAGGAAGGGTTGCTTCACATCAAAACTCTCGTAAACCCTTTCTCTCACCAGTGGCGAGACCAGGAGTTTGCAACAACATGGTGATGTTCACAATTTGGTGCTTAATTCGGGATTGGTAAAACTTTACCGTCAATTAATTTGCTACGAAGAATTAATAACCGGTCTGAGAAACTGGGACTGTGGTCCCTCTTTAAATCATTATTTTACTTCTGTCCCCATCATCGTTTCATTTCCTCTCTAGGGGCAGGCTGCCGTTGGGGTTGGGGGTGGGGGAGTAGAAAACAGGGGGAAGAAAGGGCTATTTTGTTTTATTTACTTAGCTGCGTGCTTCAAGCAGAACATCTTTACAGCTTGAATCAAACCAAGGTATCGGCTTCAGCATGGCTGGTCGCTTGTTCTACACTCCCTGATCCGCTGTGCAGGGGGACTGCAGATGCGGAATGGCAATCCCCTTTCCCCTTTACAGCTCCGATACTCGGGTGTTCTTGCAACTTGTTTCCACATCCTCAGTTACTTCCAAAAACTCGGGATCCCTTCATCAAAAAAGCTACAGCTAAGGAACCTAAATCACAAACAAGGGTAAATTCCCACCCTGTGTGTGTAGGCTCCATGTTGGGCCAAGGTAATAAAGATTCAAGATTGCTGCCAAGCAAAAAGATAAGTTTTTAAAACAAACAAGAAATAGCCTGAAAGCCACAAGTTGTCCTACCAGCGGCCTGACGGCGCCTCTTCTTGGGCCGGCCTGCTCCCTTCTGGAGGGGACACGCCAGCTCTTCCAATAGCTGCCGCTTCTCAGTCTCTTCCTCTTCCTCCACAACCTCATCCACAGTGACAAAGCTCAACTCAGGAAGCTCCTCCTCTTCCTCACACAGCCACTCCTCCACCTGCTTGCTGGTCTCTGCTTCGGGGGACAAGCACACGCCGCGTCAGAGCTCCGGCAGATGCATTCGTGGAGCTGCAAAGGCATCGAAGCGCTACACACCGGAGCGCTGAGAGGAGGAATCTGCCTGGCAGTTCAGTTAGCTACTGGTACCCCAGCACCATGTCAGGCAGGGCATGATATTTCCCTGAAACATCTGGTGCAGTTACCTGGAGTGAAGGCGGCCAGGCCTGGGTTTCATCCACACCTACGGTGTGTGACATTTAAGGTTAAGTATGACTTAAATACCACTTACAAGCAGCAGTTCAGCCCAGCTCATTTTGATTCAAATCACTGCACGTGAACACCTTCTGTGCAATGGAAATATAAACCATAGTTGCAAGATGGCATTTGCAAGCCATCACTATGGAATATCACTTGCTGAGGCCAACCTAGACCCTTTGCGGTTGCCAGTGTTCCCTGTCCCTTCCCTCAATGCTCCTGCTCACCTGGGGGGCCTGGGGACTGTGGCTTGAGCTCCTCCATTGGCTCAAGACACTTCCCATTTTCCTCTGCTGCCTCTTCATCATCACCCTTTGTCTCATCCAGGGTCACCAGAATCTGCTGAAACGGGACATCACACAGAATCGGTCAATTAAAACAATCATCATCCAAAAACTGCATTTCTGTCTTGTCGCAGTTTTCATTACATTTCGTAAGAGACAAGAATTCACCTAATGCTGATGTCTAATGAAAGCTGAATCTAGATCCTCACTGATCAAGAAACTGCAGGTTCAGTTATTCTTGTGGTCAAACTGCAGATGTAATTAATTTACTACCTAGTGGGCCAATCACCCACATGGTAAACAAGTTTTTTAAAAATAGAAAAATGCTTTGGTGATGTTTCAGCACATCCAATTTAACAAAATATTTTCTGTGCAAGCACTTCTCATAGGTCTTATATTTCAGCATAGGATAATTAAATTTAAAACTTCAATTTAAATTTAATTCAAATTGCACAACTGCTCCAATCCCACAAACAGATCTTAGTCCGCACCAAAGTTGTGAACAGAAGTGCCAGTTAAATCCTGTCTTATACACTTTTTAAAAAAGTACTAAGGAACTTCTGGAAAACCAAGACAACAGCACCAAGAGTGCTCCTTGCAGACAAGTGCACCAGTAGTGTCACTTCAGCATCAACTGTGTAAGATCGTGCTTTAACTGAACTCCCAATACAAGGGAGCTCGTCAGGTCAAGCACACCTCTGGCAGGAAGGCATCCTCGGACTCATCCCCTAGGCCAAATGGGAAGGACTCGGGGTTGGGACTCCCGCTGCCCTCCTCCTCCACGATCTCGTCCAGCGTGACAAGGGCCTGCAGGTCCCTCACTGCGTGCAGGAAGGGGTCATCCTCACCCCCGATCTCGTCAACAGTCACCAGAGCCTCCGAGTCACAGACACCAACCAAGCCCCGCTGTAGCCGCTCCTCCTCATCATCCTCAGGGTAATCCTCCTCCTCCTCGCTCACCTCATCCAGCGTCACCATTGCAGGTGCCTTACGCACCACAGCAGCCACTTCCGAGCTGTCCTCCTCCGGTGAGGCATCAGTCTCGGGCTCTGGAGCTCCCTGCCCAGCCTCTCCAGCCGTGGCGGGTTCCAGAGACTCGTCTGGCTGTCTGGCAATAGCAGCAGCAGTTTTCTTCACTTCTCCTTCCGCTGTTGTGACTGCAGAGACATCCTGAGCTTTATCCTCTGCTGCCGCTGCTGCCTTCTGTAGCTCCTTCGCTGCCTGTTTACATTTCTGAGGCTTGTCCTTGGCTGTGCTTTCTCCTGCTGTTGCGGGTGCTGAAGGTTGTGTTGCAGGCTCGTGGGGGCTGTCTGCAGCAGGAAAGGATTGCGTTTCCGTCTGTGGTTCCTTCTCCACCTCTTCTCCCTTGCCTAGGGGACTGACCGAGTCCTCCTGCTGGCTGTCTGGCTCCGCAGCCCTGTCGGCCGGCTGTGGGGCTTCTTCCACAGCAGTGGGAGGTACTGCCTTGCCTTTAGCTTGCACCTTGCAGCCCCCTGCTTTCGCACCTTTCTTCTGCAGCTTTGCTTTGGCAGCTGAAACTTTGGGCGATTTTTTCTGCAGCTTGTGGGTTTTCGGAGCAAGTTTCTTCTGTTTGGCGTCCGCGGACCCAGGCCTCCTGCGCTTGCCAGGAGGCTCAGGGGCAGGAGGAGAGTGGTGCCTGGACAACACCCCTTCTTCCACGGGCAGCTCGGGGTCTGGCTCCTGCTCTTTCCTGGGCTCCCCCTCTCCCTCGTCTCCCACCTCATCCACCGTGACGAACTCGTCCAGGTCAAATGGAAACATGCCCACCGTCTCTTCGGTAAACGGTGACGAATCTTCCATCCATTCCTCTATCTGAGACAGTAAGTCCAAAGCATTAGTTTAGTTTACTTAGATAAAACCCCAAATACCTCTAAAACATTTCAGATTTTAAAACATAAGTGAGATTTTAGGTCGCCTCTCCATGAGCCAGATGTGATGAATTGTGTCCCACTAAAAAAAATCTCAACACTTTCACTTTTGAATTTTAATCAAGTCATATTTATAGCTGAGTCATTACTGTATGAATGTATCATACTCTTCATCCTTACAAAATAGTCTAAAATTCTATTTTACGTATCTATTACAGCGATACACGTACATCCTCCTGTATGAAAACAATCATCTGACAAATCAATAAGATCTGAATACTCAACAGGATTATACTGAACGTAGGTGCTGGGCCAAGGAGGCCTGTCTGGCCTTTTATTTTCCTCACTCAAAGGAAGCACTCCTACAATAAGTGAGCACTTCTTTTGTCATACAAAAACAAAAATCCAGGTAATAAAGATATCACAAAGATGTGAACAGCAATGCGGCCTTTCTAAAGGAAGCTCTTCTTAATGAAGCATCTTAAAAGACACTTGGAGGTTTAGAAGAAGGTTCTCTTACTGGTTTGTTGTGCCGTGATTTGGTGCTGCTCCGCGACGACCGGGTAGATTTGCCAGAGCTGTAGCTCTACAAAACAAAAACAAAAAAAAACTATAACCGGTTTTCAGGACTGGCCGAGAGACTAACAAAACAATCTGTGACTGTAGTTTTGCAAGGGGAACATTCCGGTGGCAGGTGCTAATGGGAGACTAGACACAGCTACCTTTCTTTCGGTGCCTCTCTCACCTTGCGCTTGCTCTCCTCGTGGCTGGAAGACCTCCTGTCCTGGTCCTCCAGTTCCCTTCCCCTTTTGGTGCCGGAGCTGGGGCTGCCGGCCTGCACCCCCCTGTGCCCCTTGGCGGAGCCCGCCTTGCGCACTGCTGTGCCGGGCCTGTCCCCCAGCGGTTCGTCCTCCTGACCCCGGGGCTCCCTGTCCGAGCCCGGGTCTCCCCTCCGGGCCCCTGGCCTGGAGCTTCCCTTGCTCGGGGCAGCCTTGGCGTCGCTCTCTCTGTGCGAGAGCTGCTCTGAGCTCACGCCGCCGCCACGCCTCATCGATGACCGCATGCGGCACTCGTGAACCGCTGCCTCCAGAGCCCTGAGGATTTCCTCTGTCACGGGGGGGAACTCAAGGCACTTGGTGTCCTCATCTTGAGGAAATTCAAAAGCTCCCTCTTCCTTCACTCTGACAGGGGTCAAGCTGGATGGGCTCTTAGCCTGCTTTGGCGTTTGCACCGTTCTTTGTTCTGGGACACCGGGTGCCGCAGAGCCCACCAAAGCTCCAGACTCCAGAGTGACGCTGTCCTTGGTCTGCCTGTGATCCTCAGCTTTAGCAGCTCTGGGGTCAGCAGCCATCACTTTCATCGTGCTCAGGCCAGTTTCTGCAGCAGTCTTTGCTGGAACAGAGCTGTCCTCAGATTCAGCGGACTGTGCGTTCCTTGTGCTCACTGTGAGTGCTGGTTTGTGGCCACCACTGTCCACAGGAAGCCTGGAATCGGCAGGTTCCTTAACTGATACAGTCTGCTCAGTGAGGGTTAAGGAATCTACAGGAGGTGGCAACTCTGTTTTAACTGTGCTACTTGGTCTTGCATCGCCTTCATTGAATGTTGCTGTATTGCTTGAAATAAATGGATCAGAGGAAGCTTGACATGTGGGAGCTGCTGATGCACCTACCAATTCTGACTTACCCGAATTTGTATGATGCATTGCTTGCCCAGTGGAATTCACAACCTGAGCTGGAAAAAATTCTGTCCCTCCCATTGTTGTACTGGCTTCATTCAAAATGCTGGGACCTTTTTCAGTTTCGCCACAAGACACAGCCTGAGCAGAGACATCTTCAACAGATGTTGCCTCTTTCCTTGCTTTGCCAGTTGCTGGGCTGCTCTCATCTTCTGTTGTTGGACCACCAGCTTTAGGCTGATCATGCTGGTCTTCTGTCCCAGAGCTGGCACGCAGCTTGTCCTCAGCTCCGCCCTGAGAAGCAGTGGGCTCTTCGCTTCCCGCCTTCAGGCCTGTGGCTTCACCAGGCTTGGCTGTGTCAAAGAGCTGCGAAGCCGAAGCCACGGGCTGAGGCTGGGTTTCGATTGCAGATGGCTGGCGGGAGGAGGCTGACGCACTGCAGGCTTCAGCCACGGCTGCAGGCAGCGCTGAGGCCGTGCTCTCGACTTTCACAGCAGGCTCGGCAGCGGCAGGTGTGCTGGGGCCCGAAGTGGGCACAGCAGGGCCTGCGGCAAGACTAGCAGAGTGTCCGGGAGTTGGGGCAGTGTTGCTCGTGGTGGTGGACGCGGCGGGTTTTGCGGTGTCTGTGGAAGCCATGGTGGTTGTCTGAGCCTTTGCCTGGACTGCAGTTTTGGCTCTGGCTGTGGCCGAGGCAGAAGGCTTTGTGCCAGCAGCAGCTTTCTTCATTGCTTGCATAGGTCTGCCTCCTCCTTTGGTACTGTAAAGGCATTAATATTCACATTTAATTGAATATCTAATTATTTTACATTTGACACCCCTTTTTGTCAACACATTTAAATGGAATTTCACCTGTATGTGCACTAGCACTGTAAAACAAAATTTTCCAGATGGCTTATGGATTCTATGCAGTGAAAAGCAGCTGCTGGTTCTTAAAAAACATGAATTTCCATGTAGAAGCGGATTCGCGCCTTGAAGTAACCATTAGATAACAGCATGAAAAACAAAATTAACACGTTACTTCAGTCTCTGATTAAAAGAAATTCCAACAGAAAGTGCACTTCTGATTCTCTGCTTCACATCATATATGAAGTTCATCCATTTATTTCCAAGATGAATAATCTTCGATTTGATATAAAAGCCACTGCTGGCAACTAAGCATTATATTATAAGGACGATCACACGCAGAACTGAGCAGAGATTGAGATGTCCGAGGAAGATAAAAAATACCTTTTTAATTCCGGTTTTTCTTTTTTCTCCTTTTTAACCTGCAAGGTAGACGACAAGTTACTTCAGCTCTTTGCAGACATCTAATTCACATACAATGCCCAAACGTTCTTCACACAATCCTGTAATTTATTGGGCCCAAAGCACAGATGCCATGAGCTAAATGTATACGAATATAGAAACTAACTAATGAAAATTGAATTACAAAGTTCCAGGATACCACGTGAGCAAACGAGTTTGAATAAACTACTTTTCACAGTTCTGCCGGATCACAGATGGACTTACTACAATTAAAAGACAGTAGACAGAACTAACCTCTTCTTTAACAGGAACCTTTGCAGACAGTGAGAAAGTGAGAGGGTTGTTCTGAATAATGCAGGGGAACTTCGTGAACCACTGATATACTGCCTTGGCAGAAGCTGCAGTCTGCATTTCAAAAGTGATCTAATTAAAAAACAAAACAAAAAAAAAGTTGAAAAGCAAACAAACGTTTCAACCAAAAAATAAGATAACACAAAATCATCTGCTGGAACAGGATACTTAAAAGGAGCTCAGCTCTGCAGCTCGACATCGCGTTATTTCACAAAATGCTACTACAGCAAACTCCCTTATTTCTGATAGGCATGCATCCAGAAACCTCAACAACCAGAAAAAAATCATAGAAATTAAAAACTAAAAGAAACAACATTAAGATAAAAATCTAAAAGATTTCTCGGCAATAGGGAAAGTCTGAATCCCACACACTGCAGTGTTTTGCTTAGTAGCGGTATTACCCTCGACCTCCCTTCAAACTTCTCCTCCAGTGCCATCTGCTGGACACGTTTCACTTCTGCCTTCACGCTCATTATCTGGACCTGAGCTCAAGCACAAATGTGCAGAATCTAACATAACTCAGTTGATTAAGTTAAAACCTAGTTATGTTAAAGATTATTTTTTACCTTTCTTGTTAGGTTTAAAAGTTAGAAGTGAATTAATATAATAATAAAGTGTCTGGTATTACTTCAGTCAGGGGATGGCAAGTATCATATGAAATAATTATATTACATGACTTAATTTCAATTTTCATCACTGTGGTGTTGTGATGTTGTCCTGATCTCATCCAGCCAGGCAATCCTCGCATTCGGAGCCCCTTCCCGCTGTTTCTTTCGGATACGAGGGAGTTCACAGTATTGTCATTCAAAATTAATTTGTTTTGAGGAAGTTTTGAAAAGGAATGTGATAAAAGCTAAAATACTCTCGGTCACATACAAAAAAGGCCGCTCAAGACCTTTAGCTTTTCAAACAAATCTTCAGCACTTCTCTGTCTTCAGGAAAAGGGCTCTTCACCTTGTTGTTGACAATGACACAGTGCTTCCAGGTGCCAAACTTCTTCACCAGGTCCTGCACCTCTTTACCAGCTCGGGTGCTCCTCGGCACATTGCTGACAATGACCAGCCTCTCGGCCAGACCAGTGGCGTCCTGTCCGAGACAGAGGACACAGCCAGGGTTATTCAGGAATTCACACCAGGTTCACACAACTTCTCCTTGAGGAAAAGGTAAACTAACAAATGCTTATAGAAACAGACTGCACTCAGGTTTTCATTTGCCCTGCAGGAAGCCGTCCTCGAGAGCCAGAGGGATGAAACTACGAGGTCCCTGATGCCCTGACCTGTCACATGCAGGAAACAACAAGAACACACTCGACCGTGGATCAATCAGTTAAGATACCGTTTAGACCTTCTTTACAAGGGAAAAGGATAAGGTGGTCATTTACTATGCAAAACAAATCTGAATAGGAAAGGCTGGTTTAAATTTATATGGGGCGATATGGAAAAGTAAAAAGCCAGACTACGATTGTTCCATTTTGCCATAATGAACATGGTGACTTTGGATTAACAGTGTTTACACAGTAAAACAAGACAGCAGCACTGTCCGGGCCTTAGGCAAATGTTTATCACACCTGGTGCTCTTATATTTAAATTAATTAATTAAACTTAAAATGAGGGATTTTAAGGTTAAAGTCTCAAGCCAAACTAAATAGTTTTGGTAAACTGTGGGCCATCTGAACATGGTACTTTCTTATGCAGATTGCCATTAACTGCCCCGGCGCAGAGCAAGCAAGCGGATGGCCTCCACACTCAGTTTATGGCACTACTCACCGCAGATTTGTCCAGTCCAAGAACCTCTCGGAACTGCACCTCCTAAAACAAACATGAAGGTGAAGTTTTTAAAAAATGCCCACTATGTCTAGACCGCAGCTGCAAAAGTGGTACAATTCAAAACGCATTGCTGCACATAAAACAGACTTTACAGTATTGGGAAATAAAGGCTCCAGATCTTTCTTAATTAATGTACAACCTGGTTACATTCAATGTCATATTTAACTTTCAGGTTCAAATTGTGAATTTTGTTTCCTGACAACTTAAGTACTTTTTGGAATTTCAATCAGCAAACCCTTTTACAGAACATGTTCAACTTTAACAATTAAAACATATAAATAAAAACATATGGTGTATTGTATGCACAAATGCAAAGTAAATTCAGCTCATTAAGCACATTAAAGCCAGATATTTCCATGTCAACAGTGTTTTCTTTAAATGGCCAAAGTACAGATTAAAAAAAAATCCAGAAAAAACTTGCAATAGACTCACTGAACCTGACAGCAAACACAATGGTACTGATTCAAAGATAATTTAACCTTTTTTCCCCCATAACTTTCACAATGCTAACTCTCCAGCTCATACTGCAAGAGACAAGATGTGGCTCCTTACCGAACACTGCAGATCCACAGGTCTTTTTATCAGAGTAATGGTCAGCTCACTCTCCTTGATCTTCACAGGGGCGGACTTGTAAGTGTTGACCATAGCTTCCCCTGACTCCACATCTGGCAGCTCCATGAAAGCCTGAATTAGATTGTTCGAAAGAAGCATTGTGACCCCAAAACATAAATCCTTCCCTCATGTCAGTGCTAAGCACGAGTATACCACAGCTGCTCATTCATCAAACAAGATCTCAATATCTTGGTCATGGTCAATCTCAACGCATAATGCAAAATGTGCACGGAAACATAACATTTCATCGATGATAGGACTATACTTTTCCTTTTCTGATTCCTTGTTGAAAGAATGGACATTAAAGAATATTTACTTAGCTTGCCAGTTCATCATTTTGTTCTTTTTATTTCACTTTATATTGCCAATACCAGAAGAATGCAACACTTTCCAACACTTTACAGTTATGAATATAGCTAGCAAACTGAGTCAGGTTAGCCAACCAAAGTATACAAGGGTACACTTTGAGTAAAACAGATCCCTAATCCTTCTGGGGGGATCTGAAAAGGCTGAGAATTGCGTGCACAGCACACACATTTTATCTTAAAATCAGTTGGATCTAGAAATATTAGTCTCTGGATGGTGATGCGAACTAACTGCAATGATGTCAGAACTCATATAAATATTTCATAATTTTTGCTTGAAAGCTACTACAGAAGCAACAATGAAATAAAAAGACTAGAAAAACTAATGTGTTTGAACACATGGCTCAGCAAAGTACTTCAACTATCACCACCCACATTTTCTTTAAGCATTACATTCCAATGTAGGAAAACTTGCTACATCGTGTTGCTGTGAGGGTGCAACATATGACAGACAAGAAGAGAGGCATTCTAAGATATTACTGTCCAAGCCCGTAGACACTGATCAGTGTAACCTTTTGAGGGCAGGAACTCTTGGAACCGACAGCCTGCTACTAGTGATTTCCTGATGTACGGTCTATTTGAAATAAACGTACTACATCAGGTTCACTGACAAAAGTTTGAGCTAGAAAAGGTCACACAGGGTAAACAATACCTTGCCATGTGAAGGTGATATAATAAGCTCTGAGGTAAACCCAAATGGTACAGCAAGCTTAGTGATTTCTTCTTCGGTGTAGTCACTTTCAGGAAGACCAGAGATCTGAATGACACATTTCTTCCCACCATCATGCAAATGAAGAAAAAGAAAGTTTGAATTTTTATGAAACATTTAAGGTACAAAATCACTCATTTATCAGAATTAGAAAGTTCATGTGTAACAAATTACTCACTTTTTTATCCTTTGCCTTCACAGGAGGGTTACCTGTACAGTAAATAAGAACATCTGAAAAACAGAAAACGATTGCAAACAAAATGTATTTACTGCACTGTGCAACTTCAGGTCCATAAATCTGTGACTTTACAGTTTCAGTATTTAGTAGCGTACATTGTACTTCAATCACCTTGGAAAAGTAACACGTGATGAAACATCTACACAGTCTGGCACTTATAAATACATATACTGTGTAAAAAGCAAAAATAATGTATTTCTGTACAAATCTGTAAATCCATTAGGCAAAATGTAAAAAAAAAAAAAACACTTTAAAGATAAAATTTAATTGTCCCCCGAGGGAAAGTTTATCGACACCCAGCACTCCTGTACATTTAAATAGAATGCAAACAAAAAAAGAAGAAAAGAAAAACATTGCACATTATACTAGTACAAAAAATAAGAAAAACATTGTGCATCACTCTATTGCACTTGTACAGTATAACACATAATGTAACATTTATGACACAAAACATATTGCAGCCAAAAGGGTGGTAAGAGTCAAAATTGTGTTTATCCTTGACATTTGCGCTGACAGCTTTAATGAGTAGTGGAACAAATGAATGTTTGTATCTGTAAAGATGTGTGAAAAAACGCAGCAAAGCAAATCTAATACAACACAAAAGCGATGCTTTGCAGTTATTTCATATTTTGGAGCATTAAGATATAATACTGCAGGTTACAGGGGAGAAAATACCAGCCCCAGCATTTCTGCAACTATTTAAAATTCTGCTAGCTGTGGGCGGTGACGGAGTTTGTTTCTGCCTTACAGATTTTAGTGACATAGAATCTGGTGGACAAGACCTGAGCAGTACCAGGAGGAAGGGTGTAGTTTACCTGTTTTTTTAACAGCTGGAACTTTTGTTTGTGTGGAGGTTTTGGGCATTTCTTTCCTATGAAATAAGGAAAAAATAAATATTCAACAAACCTAAATGTTAATATGTACATTGCTAAAATATAAGGGAAATATCTCATGGGCATCCCAAACCATTTGCAATAAGGACCCTGTCATAACAATTCTCAACTTCTTTAGGCTAAACAGAAAAACGAAATGTTCCTAGTCATAAAACAGACAGCTCACCTTGGACACCTCTTATTTCACTGAACTTACTAATGTCTTACAAAAAACACCCATAAACTCATTTGGCTTTCTATTTCTGGCTAAGAAGACAAAACAAAAACAGGAAAATGCTCACTTTTTAGTGTTGGACAGCTTCTTTGTTTCCTTTACAACTGCCTCCTGCAAACAGAAAGATAACAAAATGTGACTTAAGCAGGCCTCCTTCACACAAGGGGCTAATTAGCTTTTAAGTAAAATACTCAAGTTACACACAGACTACAGAACAGAAAAGCAAATTTTATTCCTTTAGAATTAAAGTTGAATGGTAAACGGAGACGACCATGCAAAGAGAGGGAAGACGAGCATGTGTGTGAGGCAGAAGAACATCATCGAGAAGATTTCTGACGTACACTCTTCTCCAAGAAGATCCTGACCGATTTCCCTTGGATGAAAAAGGGTGCGCGCTTAATCGTCTCCATGAAGGCTTTGGCCTCCTCCTCCTTCTCCATCACCACAGTAGCCTGGAAAACGGGAGGGGGGGGGAAATGAATCGACTCCTCTTCTGCACATCAGACCCTGTTGGCAGTATATGAGCAGGACCAAAAACACAGCACTTCTCCAAGAAAATGTGCTTTTACCGAGCTCTTTGTATCCCAAAGAGGGATCACCAGGCAAAACAAACAAGATAATGGAAACAAGGATGGACACTGGAGATATTATTTAAATGGATGGATGAGATGTGGGAAATAAAGAATCTAAAATTGTCCAAGATACAAAAGAGGGGAATGTACCTAAAATAACCTTATTAAGCATATTAAGTTTTTTTAGTTCAGAATAACTGTCGAGACTTTTATAATTAATAAAAAATGCTATGCCCTGTAAGTCAGTAGTATTTTCCGTTTACCCAAGCTTCGGCAATCCTTGGCCATCTAATTATTCCGAAATGTGAGTGTTGTTGGAATTAATCTCCATTCATCTACAATTGAAAGGTCAGATTAAAATCTTATACTGGACTGCCTGGTACCCTACTTTCTCCAAAAGCTATTTGAATAGTTTTTCCTACCTGCTCGGAATCCTTCGAGACCACAGCTGAAGTGACTTTTCCATAGGGCTTCATCACTTCCAAAATGTCCGGCTGACTGACGCCAAAAGGCAAATCCTTGAGGCGAATGACTGTATTGCCAGGCAGAGCACTTTTCTTCTTGACTTTCACCATCTGCACAACAGGAAACCCACAGTAAAAGATGAAGCATCAGTCTGTTAAACAGTGCAAATACATACAACACCAACAGTTTCCTATTCTTAGCGCTCCCTGCAAATATGAAGGAATTGTATACACCCAGACAAGCAAAACTACACAAAAAACATTTGTGACTAAAATTGAATAATTAATTTAACACATGAAATCAGAAATTGTACATATGTCAGTGTGAACCTACTTTGGGAGTCACCTCCCCTTCCTTGTTAGAGGATGCTGCTGGTCCCTTTGATGAAGAAGAGCTGGATTTGCCTGCTGAAAAAGAGCTGGATTTGGCTACTGAAGGCCCGTGTTTTGCCAAGGAGCCGAATTTTGCCATAGATACTGAGCTGGATTTTCCTACGGCCTCACTCTTCTTGGCAGAGGGAGAGGAGAGGGTCTTGGAGCTCTTGATGCCAGCAACATTAGATCTGGAGGAGGAAGAGCTCACCACCTTCTTCTTGGCCAGCTCTGCTAGAATGGCTGGGGCCAGAGACTGCATCATAGCCTCCAGCGTTGTGTTCTCAGAGACAGACAATCCTGCAGGGAAGAAATAAACACCCACATACTTGTACACATGCTTGACCCATGTCTGAATTTAAACAGAAATATCAGGAAATACGAAATGGTAGTCTGCACCAACAGAACTCAAACAATAACAAAAGGAATGGACCAAACGGTAAAAGACAAGACAATAGTTTCTTAAATGTGTGATACTTTGAGATGGTTAAGTGGCAGACGGTCAGTGGACATTGAGAAGAACTGAAAACTGGTGGTCTACAGAGACAGCCACTTGACAGTGCGCTGACCCGTTTCGCTCCAAGGGCTTGTTTCTCCATCCCCTTTCAGAGCAGTACTGAGCACGCCAGGCTCCAGCAGGACCTGGCCCGGCGATGCCCGACGTCAGAGGAGGCTTACCGGTGGACTCGATGAGCTTCTTGGCCAGCCTCTCGCTGCTGGAGGACCGGTGCCGCCGGCGGGGGCTCAGCCGGCGCGGGCCGCGGGCGG